ATAATCACCGTGAATTTATAGTGTATATAACGGGCAAAAATGTGAGTACTTTAGCAACAAAAAAGCGTACTAGATGAAGGATACGTTAGACTTATTCTCTAGAGGCACTATAAGGTCGTCCACCCCGTTGCACCGTGATTTCAAACTATGAAGGATTTTACCGAGAAAAAAAAAAGCGCAAATAAGTATTCCTACCACTTGGGCCATAAAAGAACGCCAGGAACACGAGGTATGTCCTGATACTTTTGTTTTATCAGAGCTGTTACGTGATGGCCCTGAACCGCGACCCATCGGACTAATTAGTCCATCCCGCTGCCCACGTCAACAGTTTCCGCCTCGCAAACGCAGGGCGCCTTCCTCCGGTTCATCGCCACGCTAACACAAGGCGGGGTTTCCCGGAACGAGCTTGCTATAGCCCCGTCGTCCCGGGAGACGTAATCAGGCGATGAACGCATGTACATATGCACGTAAAGCACCGCAGCACGCTCTCATCTGGACTCTCAGTTCAAGCGTCATCCAAGGCGACAGCGAGCAGCCCGCTGATCAATGAGGGCCCGCTATAAGCGAAGGCCAGCCAGACGCCGCCCGGCCAGGGCGATCCCGATCACCCCGCGTTGTCCTTCACCACAAAACCCGCCGCGGTACCTCAGCGGTTGGCCGTAGTCATGGTGACGGAACCGCAACAAAGCCTCGCCCGCATCGAGGCACGTGCTGTGCGGTGGAAAACGTCCCGCCGTCGACGTGGGACAGTGGACGACGCCTGGTTTTTGTTTTGTTTGCTTTAAACCGCTTCTCCCTTTTTTTTTTTTTTTCGTCCTCTCTCGCCATTTCCTCGTAGCGCGCATACGTGGTAAACAAGTCGAAACTTCGGCCGAGCGTCCACCGAGCCTGACCCTGGCATCGTCGGTTGCCGTGAGAGACATCGACCCCGGGCTGACCGAGGCACACAGCGTGCTGACAAGAGTGAAGGAAGGAGACATCGACGCAGCTAGTAGAAAGAGAGAGAGAGAGGTATACTGTAAGGCTCTGTATACTACTCCGATAATTCTTCATTTTTCCTTAAAATATTTATGAGAACAATAATAAAACTGACTGAGGTTTCACGTTTCAAAACCACGATATGGTTATGAAAGACATAGTAACGGAGGTCGTCCGAAAATTTTACCGAATCGAGTTCTTTAACGTGCACTGGCTTCCCACACTGGCATTTCACTTCTATGTAAATACGACCACCAGACCATGGAGGATCGAACATGGGACCTTCGGACCAGCAGCCGAGTGCCATAAACATTGTACCACCACGGCGGACGGTTTAAGAGAATATCCGCTAAATGAAGATCGTATAAGCCTATGGAGTAGTTGAATTCTCGTTAGTTTCAGTCCAAATGATTGATTGATATGTGGGGTTTAACGTTTAAAACCACCATATGATTACGAGAGACGCCATAGTGGAGAGCTCCAAAATTTCGACCACTTGGGGTTCTTTAAAGTGCGCCCCAATCTGAGCACACGGCCCTGCAGCATTTTCGCTCCCATCGAAAATGCCACCGCCGCAGCCGGGATTCGATCCCGCGACATGCAGGTCAGCAGCCGAGTACCTTATTAGCCACTACACCACCGCGGCGGGGCAACCACAGGTGGTCGAAGGCAATATGAAGAAAACAGTCTGTGTACCCCACAAAATTGTGGTACACAGGGTATCAGAATCTCAATTAACCTTATTTACGCCAACCACAATCAGAACTTTCGTGATTTCAAAGACGTGCTTAGGAAAAGCGATTACGTCAAGCCTTGATTCTCCATGAGATTTGCAGCTTCCTTCCTTACAAACGCATGGCAGAGGTGAAAGTTCGCTATGCATAAAGCTGTTCACTATAGTCATAATACAAAAGCACACGAAAGTACCGCCACACAATCTACCCAGTCTATAGCTCTTTCAAAGTTAACCGAGCAATATGTCGACTCTGCCAGCTAAAACAAAACGTATTTGGACGCCTAACAGAATAAATTAAAACCTGGCAGCGCTTTCGCCACTGCCATTTGTATGCGCATTCGCGCTATAGCACAGGTGCAGTTACGCTCGCAGGCGGGCAAACATTGATTAAGTGCCCGAATGACGCATGCGCGGCTAGGTGGTAGTGGTCAGAAGAGGAAGAAATAACCTAATTTCTGCAGCCCGGTGGGCGCGGCTAGGTTAACTCACAGCCTGCACACCCCGTCCTCGCAGCCTATTGCCAAGTCCGCGAAACACCGACAAAAGCGAAACGACACTAGCGCCACACGACGCCGAAGAAGCGGGAGCTGGTCAGTCAGAGCACGGCCCAGCAATTTCAGTCTCGGTGCATCTTGTGTTCACCCAGCCTGAGATGAGCTAATCAGAACGGAAAGAAAGAAAGAAAGAAAGAAAGAAAGAAAGAAAGAAAGAAAGAAAGAAAGAAAGAAAGAAAGAAAGAAAGAAAGAAAGAAAGAAAGAAAGAAAGAAAGAAAGAAAGAAAGAAGAAACGCCCTCACGAAAGTTTCATTTCTATTCTATCGCCACGCGCACCGCATGTGCTATGCATGAACGGCGCCAAACGACCTCGCATTCTTTCCTATCTCTGTGCTCCGCTGTTGTTCTTTAGCACACTACGGCTCCACCGACTCGAAGAACTGTCCACCGCCGTCGTTCTGGTCCACAGAAGGCCAGCCGGTGTACAGTAGGCGTATCGCGGCGGCCTCAGCGTGCCTTGCGCGACCGGCGCTTCTTGTGCTCCCCGGTCACGCTCTGAATGCGGAGGAATGGCAAATGATCCGTAAAAAGAAAAACACTGCAGGATCCCCATCGGGCCAATCTCAGACCGACTCAGTCCCTTGCTTTGCTTCGGCTGCTTTTGCGAAGGAGTGAGCGAGACTGGTTTCCTCCTATACGGGTCATTTGGACAAACTGAGCTCCTTCTTCGGCTTGGCTTGGCTGGCATCGCTTTCTCTGCGAGTGCCTACTGTGCGCACGTCTCCCGAGCGATGAGGCGAAGTATCTCTCTAATGTGGATCCGGGGCCGCCTTCATTAGACGGCGTCCCGTGAGATCTCTCGGCGGGTGCGTCGTTGCCTACACCGAAAGGCAACATGGGTAGAGTTCATTCATTTGTTTGCGGGACTGTATCTCGGCGAACCCTCGGGCGATTTGTGAAGGGTGGTGAACGGTGATTGGTGTCCCTGGCCTGTCGCATCATTGCGAAACGTCTCTTGCTCAGGCCTTTGTCCCGTAGCGTCAGCGACGTCCGCACTGGCACTTCGCATGCGCAGCTCTCCTTCGACCCTCTCTCATGCAGCCGCTTGTTACTCTCTCCACTGTTCTCCTACCACATGCTTTGTCGACATCCCTTCTAGCGGCGTTAACACCCCCATAGCACATGCGTGTACCCTCCCCCTCTCTCTCACCTCTTACACTCGCCCTCTCTCACCTCGCGACGCCGACGCAGGCAGCGTCTGCTAACGAGTTTCTTGATCGAAAAAAAAAAAATCCCAGCATATCCACGGAGTGAATGATATCAGTGGGCGAAGCTCTGGAGGTTGCGTTCGTCTGTCTGTCTATCGAAACATCTCGAAAGATGTGAGTGATGCGAGCGCCATCTAGTTAATACTTCGTGCACTAGGGTTGGCTACGACAGAGAACTACGGCAGGCAAGCCTACGCCTTAGCGAGCTTCGCCCCTAAAAACCGATTGCTCCTGCTGCACAACCGTTCACTGGCCGCCCCGTATATATAGGCACTGGATCTTGACCTCCAAGGTAGTGTCGGTGGGAGATTTCTCCTTGAATAAAAAATCGCAGCATGCGGGTTAACTAAAAGCGGACTACGGATCTGTTTCCAATCGGAGTCTTCCGTCTCTCACTGTTCATTAGCAGCGATTGGCATGTTCCAGTAGGAAACACCAGTCCATCACTTTACTACCCAAATTTCATTATTAATGCCACAGTGGGTATCAAGTAAGTGTGCTTGCAGTAGTTACCCAATGACTGTTCTGAAAGGCTCTGAAAGGCCGCTATTCTAGCTTTCGCTGTGACTGTGCTGCGCCTTCCGCGCGGGCCTAGCGTTTTTTTTTTTTTTTTTTTTCAAAAGATTGCGAGCCAGGGATTTGACCCAAACAAGAGCTTGAGGGTTAAAGTACTGTGCTTCGTCTTGGTTATGCTATGTAACGGTTGTTCTTGAACTTACTTTCTTTTAACATTATCGTGTGTACGCATGTGTAACAGTATGTTGTTATGAGAACTTATAACTGTTTGGACATGTCCTGACCATTATGCTAGGTTGTATATTGTATGTGCGCCAACATCTGACATCATGTCCTTTGAAAAGAAGGAGATAGAAGAAAAATTCTGCGCGGGCTAACAAGAGGGCTGTGGTTCGAATCCCGGTACCACGCATATTTCCACTGCAACAGGAAAAAAAAAAGAAGTACAATCCTCATGTTGATCGAATTGCATAAACATACACGTGATGCGGTCAGATAGTAATGACCTAATGCGCTTCCCCATCAGGAAATTTTTTGTCACCCTGGAGCAGTACTTGGCCACAGTATCGAATATGAATACACCAATTAGTTTTATTCATGAAAATAAAAACTATCACGCAAGTATAATCTATACCCGGTCGCTAGAGCGTCTTCACTGAATTAGCACACACCCTCTGCGCATGCGCATAGACTGTGTAGAGAAGACCAACTAATAAGTATAAACTTATCTGCTGCTATCGCATTCATTTATTGATTATGGGCATTTCCATCTCGGTTTCTATGAAAACGCATGTTTCGCCATCGATTGCAACGTGTTTGTATTCAAGAATCGCTTTTAAAAATCCATTCGCCTCATTATGTTGCAATGCCAATCAGCCCACTCATCCCGAATGCAATGATGATCCGACTCAACACTGCGTTGAAACGCCGGCGTAGTCTACATGAAAGCCACCCCAGCATGCGCGTTACAGCAGTGTCAATAAAGCAGTGAACAATGTTTCACTCACCACAGGTAGTGATGGAGGCTGCCTGAAATGATAGAAGAAGAAGAAAACGATTCATTAGACACATTGGAAAAAGTACTTGTAATCTGGGCGTGAACTCTGAATAGGTAATAGTTGATATGAATCGTGAAAATGAGAGTACAAGTGAGGCAGTATATGTACAGGTGATATTGTGCACATACTGTCTTTATATTCATGCAACCTAATGACTGTGTCGGAAGAACAGAATTCCGTCTGGTCATTTAATGAGTAAATCTTACGTGCACTACTTCCAGTTCCTTCTTAGAGTCTAGCCTATAGTTCGTAAACATCTATGCGACATGACGGTACCATCTCTCACTGCTTGTTTGCAGTGAGGTATGTTTGCCGACTAACTCTCACGGGAGAGCACGGAGAGTAATCCAGTAACTCGACATTACCACTGTGCCGCCGCAGTGGTCTACTGGCTAAGAGACTCGGCTGCAGGCCCGCTGGTCATGGGATCACGTCCCGACTGGGGCGGCTACATTTTCGGTCGAGGCGAAAATACGGTAGGCCCGTGTGCTTGGATTTGGAGGCACGTTAATGAACCCCAGGTGGTCGTAATTTCTGAAGCTCTCCACTACGCCGTCTCTCACATTTATATGGTGGTTTTGAGACGTTAAACTACAGATATAAATCATAAATCGACGTTACCGCTGCGGGTCAACAGAGTGTCAACAGGCCACTTCGAACGACTGACTGTATTTTCGCTGTATCCGAACGCCAGGCTCATTTTAAACTGGCATTTACAGTCACACCGTCCGTCACAATCACCACGTTGCCGGCACTATACCCGTGTATCCATTACACGCATTGCCATAAAACTGCGTTAGCTCAAGCGAAAGCCCCGCCTCGGTGGTCTAGTGGATAAGGTACTCGGCTGCTGACCCGCAGGTCGCGGGATCGAATCCCGGCTGCGGCGGCTGCATTTCCGGTGGAGGCGGAAATGTTGTAGGCCTGTGTGCTCAGATTTGGGTGCACGTCAAAGAACTCCAGGTAATCGAAATTTCCGGAGCCCTCCACTACGGCGTCTCTCATAATCATATGGTGGTTTGGGGACGTTAACCCTCACATATCAATCAGCTCACGCAAAACAAGTAAACTTGTAAACTTCCGCGGCAAAAAAGTTTCTTGCCTATATGGAAAGATCCAGCTTTTTTAGCACTATAGCGTCAACCCCACTCTCCATTTTTCTCGTTTCCCTTTTTTACCCTTGCACTTGATTAAGCTACGTACCAACGCCCTGCTTTATACATAGGAGTGAAGTCAGTGTCAAACCCGCCAAACATACATCGCACGCGCTGCTGCAACCCTGTCGGCCACTGTCAAAAGAACAGGCTGTCAAAAAGAACAGGCTGCGTGAATATTCATGCACGTCGAACGGCCCATCACAGCCTCGATTAATATGCAGCGTCAGCCCTGGGCGGCCGCAGCGGTGCGTGAACTTTGGATAGGTGGCCCAACAGTCTTTCGCCCTCTCTCTCCCTCCTTCTCTGTTGGGTGGTCATCAGTGCCGCCGCACCTGCTGTTCTGACGGACACTGTCGTCTCTACGCATGTCACAGTCTGCACATTTTTATATTTTTATCTGTGACCCAAGAAGAAGGAAGGATTGATCGCAGCCTATTGTGTTCTTCGCGCTCGAAGGTCACCGAGGTCACCTTCGGTAGCAGGCGTGTGAGTCACTACGATAGCGGCATTGGACATATAGGAAATAATACCGCTGTGTCACGATGATGACCATGGCATATGACGGCACAACACTAATAATGTGTTGAAACTTCAATTGAACGAACCTCAAAGGTACCTCAGAAAAATAAAGTTCGTTGAACTGAATAGATATGTTGCAGGCTGCGGTTCGTTGTCAGGAGCTAGAGGAAACATCAGTCGTTGAAAACGAATTTTAACGCCATTCTCTTTGCAACGCTGCTTATTTGAACGCATGTTTATTATGTTTCGAAAAATGTAATAATCTTTGCGTGCACTTGCGCACTTGGCCGACATTTGAGTCTCTGCGTTCTCGCTCTCGTAAACCTCCTCCGTCCCAACGATGAACGGAGCAGCGAAGGAATTCACTTTTCCGAGTACGCACATGAGTGCATGTGTTTCGTAGCTGAACTTCTCGGTGCTTCATCCACTATGGTTACTTCTTCCTCCTTATCCTCTTACTGGATAGGACGCTTAACACCAAAATCTCTTCTGAAGACAGAGCAGCGCACGCCTCAATGCGACAGTCACAGGTGACGTAACTCTAATAACGCAAAGCGCCGTCTGTACCCAGTTTTTCAGACAAAATCTCATAAATATGACGTAAGAGGCATTGGATGGTGTCGCAAAATATGTTCGTAGAACTGAAATGCGCTGTGCGCTAGTCTAGTTAAACTTAGAGTTACGGTATATGCTACCTTTAGGTAGCATACAGTAAAGGTAGCATGTGCAGTACCTCTAGTTAAACTGAAATGCGTTAGCTTTTGATCGAATGACACTTCGGTGGGATAATTAAATAAATTTCATAGAATTGTATAGTTCGTTTAACTGGAGTTCGCTCAAACGGTATCTTACTGTATAACAATCGTTAGGGTAGTAGTAGAAAACTAGTGTAACAAGCGAACACTCACACTAAACTTCGAAAGCCAGATAATGAGTGAGATAGAGTCATCTAGAAACATACACATCTACGAAATATGAAGGGCAACTATAGCCTCGAACATATACTTAAAATCAATTTTAGAATACACGCCGCGCCACTGAGAGAAATGCGGAGCCCCTCGCAACGCCGACATCAACGTGATGGCAATGTAAACAAACCTACGTCACGATGTGTGGCAGCTTGGGCTAGTTGGTATGGCATGACGATAGTTATAGCGCGAGAACAAAACGACGACACACAGCGCTCGTGTCTTCCGTGTCCTTCTTGTCTCTGTGTCGTCGTTTTGTTCTCGCGCTATAACTATCGTCAGGCTACGTCACGAGTTTGTGTTTGCTGTTTGCTTGCGAGCGCGTTGCGCTTGCGCTCCCTGCGATTTCTTCATCCGCGACTGCGGCTATGCGTGTGCTGACTGTTCCGGTTGTCAGTGGGGCGCCTGCTCGCGCATGCTCTCTCGCTCACCGCACGTCACAGTTTTGCGTGGTCACATGGCCGGCTGTGTTTATCTTGCAACCGGAAGTGCTCCTGCCCAGCTCGGTGCTCGTTGAAACTGAAACTGCGATAGGGAGCTCTAAAAACGTCTATATAAATATGTAACCACCGCGCACTCGCAAAACGAGGTTTCTAGTAGTGGTAACTGGCTGATACTAAGAAGCTACATAATGCAATAAAAAACAAGGAGCATAACGTTTGTGTGGATGCTCCTTTAAGTGAACAATTTTGTCAAATTATTTCGGTTTTACGCCCCAAAGTTGTGAGGGACGCCGCAGTGGAGGGCTCAGAAAATGCTGACCACCTGGTGTTGTTTGACGTGCAGCTAAATCCGTGTACGCAGGCCCCTACCATTTCGCCTCTATCGGAATGCAGCCACCGCGGCCGGGATTCAATCCCGCGACCTTCGGGTCCACAGTTCACATTGGGCAACGAAAAAAAACGAGACATCCTTCGTGTCATCCTGCTTGAGTTATCAACGCAGCGATAAAACGTACGATAAGACGCGTCGCACTTACGCGCGATAGCACAAACGCCGTATTTCCCGCTATTATCGACTCGTCCGAGGACAGTGACCTCGCACTGGGCTCGCGTATTGTTCTGGTGCTAGAATACGGGAAATGCCAACCTCTGTACAAGCACAGCTGACGCTGTGACTCATGGTGACTCAGGCGCGACTAAGAACGCTCTACATTGTAACACCGGTCGCTTAATCACCGCTGGATCTTCTTTTAACCTTGTCGTCTTCATTTATTTGCGTGCATGTGTTTTCACGCCGCATTTACAGAAGCGCGGCCTATTCAAGAGGTGAAGAGCACATGTTTTCTTCGAAGTCACTATATCTCGTGAACGCCACCGGACACATCAAGCCGTAATGATTCGTTTGGAACAACATTGAACGTAGGGGTGACTCATACAATGTGAATGAATACAATGCACGCGCGAAAAAAGAATAATAGCCAGTCAGCCTTTCCGCCCCAAGAAAATTATTATTATTATTATTATTATTATTATTATTATTATTATTATTATTATTATTATTATTATTATTATTATTATTATTATTATTATTATTACAGAAAACCGGGCGTATGATGTTTGGAAGCTGTCTCGATCGCTTTATTTTTTTATTTTCCTTTGCATGGGATATATGAAAAAGACCATCGACAGGTAAGATTCTGGCGTGTAGCAGGCGTGTCAGGTGTTATTGATGATATCTCCAAACGACTTTTTTTTCTCGTGTCTCATTTATTTCGCCCAAGTTATACAAGAATGTTTACACGTTTCCCATACAACGGTGTAGTTATTGCGAACTCTGACGTACAATACGAAAAAAAAGCTTTGTAGATACAATAAACATAAAATTAACGAAAGAAATACGGCCCCTGAGTTAATCGTATATGCTCTGAGCTGTCGGTGGCGAATGCCACGTACAGCTGCCCATTTTTCTTTAACTTGAACGCGCGGGCGCCAACCACCGAGTTAAAATGCGCCACTTCTAGGCCTCTCGATGTCATTTACAGAAATAGTGAGCCAGACAACAACCAGATGGGATTTTTCATCACGTTCATGCACATATTGTTTCGTGATTCGTTATAATAGACTGCTTCAAGATTGCAAGCGTTTTGCCCCCAAAAAAAAACTTCCGGTCACCTCATTTACTAGCTCGTAACGTTGAAACTGAAAGGACGTTTTCAAGTTTTTTTTTCAAGGATGAGGAAAGTCTCTTATTAGTTTTCCACATAAAAAGAACGTGTGTAATGTTCAAGGCTATCAATTGTTTTTATGTAGCTCAACAGAACATCTATTTGAGTATATTTTGCCAAATGAGGTAATAAAAGTGCAGGAAATCAGCTGGCTACTTTC